TTATAACCTAAAGATCTTGGTTCCTTTCTGTATTGTCGCATATCGGATTGTAACTTTGTGAATTATGGTCCCTGATTATACAAAAAATCGCCTTTTGTTAGCTTGTGGTTCCTCTGAAGGTCACAGTTATTATCCGATTTTAAAAATCGTTTGAATATATCACCGTGACACCATAATAAAGGTTGAGTTCGAATTTATTGAAAATTGGACCAAAACTGTTGGACAAAATGGCCGCCGCTTGTACGCGAATAGTATAAAAATATGGTATATCAAGGCTGTAGACCCTGTAGAGGTCACAATTTTAATCTGATTTTGATGAAACTTGAAATGCATGTTTATAACCCAAAGATATTTGTTCCTTTCGATATTTGCGCGTATCAGATCTTAACTTCCAGAATTATGGCCCCTGATTATACGCAAAATCGCCTATTTTAGCTTGTGGTTCCTCTGGAGGTCACAATTATTATCCGATTTAAACAACCGTTTGATTATATCACCGGTACACTGTAATGAAGGTTGAGTTCGAATTTCATGAAAATCGGACCAAAACTGTCGGATGAAATGGCCGCCGCTTGTACGTGAATAGTGTAACAATATGGTATATCAAGGTTGTGGACCCTGTATAGATCACAATTTTAATCCGATTTTGATGAAAGTTGACATGCATGTTTATAACCCAATAATCTTGGTTCCTGTCGATATTTGTGCATATCGAATCATAACTTCCTGAATTATGGCCCCTGATTGTACGAAAAATTGCCCTTTTTTAGCTTGTGGTTCCTCTGTAGGTCACAATTATTATCCGATTTAAAAAAAGTTTGATTATATCACCGTTACACTGTAAGAAAGGTTGAGCTCGAATTTCCTGAAAATCAAACCAAAACTGCCGGACAAAATGGCCACCGCTTGTACGCGAATGGTGTAAAAATATGGTATATCAAGGTTGTGGACCCTGTAGAGGTCACAATTTTAATTTGATTTTGATGAAACTTGAAATGCATGTTTATAACCTAAAGATCTTGGTTCCTTTCTGTATTGTCGCATATCGGATTGTAACTTTCTGAATTATGGTCCCTGATTATACGAAAAATCGCCCTTTTTTAGCTTGTGGTTCCTCTGAAGGTCACAGTTATTATCCGATTTTAAAAATCGTTTGAATATATCACCGTGACACTATAATAAAGGTTGAGTTCGAATTTATTGAAAATTGGACCAAAACTGTTGGACAAAATGGCCGCCGCTTGTACGCGAATAGTATAAAAATATGGTATATCAAGGTTGTAGACCCTGTAGAGGTCACAATTTTAATCTGATTTTGATGAAACTTGAAAAGCATGTTTATAACCCAACGATCTTTGTTCCTTTCGATATTTGCGCGTATCAGATCTTAACTTCCAGAATTATGGCCCCTGATTATACGCAAAATCGCCTATTTTAGCTTGTGGTTCCTCTGGAGGTCACAATTATTATCCGATTTAAAAAATCGTTTGATTATATCACCGGTACACTGTAATGAAGGTTGAGTTCAAATTTCATGAAATTCGGACCAAAACTGTCGGATGAAATGGCCGGCGCTTGTACGTGAATAGTGTAACACTATGGTATATCAAGGTTATGGACCCTGTATAGATTACAATTTTAATCCGATTTTGATGAAAGTTGACATGCATGTTTATAACCCAAAGATCTTGGTTCCTTTCGGTATTTGTGCATATCGAATCATAACTTCCTGAATTATGGCCCCTGATTGTACGAAAAATTGCCCTTTTTAGCTTGTGGTTCCTCTGTAGGTCACAATTATTATCCGATTTAAAAAAAAGTTTGATTATATCACCGTTACACTGTAAGAAAGGTTGAGTTCGAATTTCCTGAAAATCAAACCAAAACTGCCGGACAAAATGGCCACCGCTTGTACGCGAATGGTGTAAAAATTTGGTATATCAAGGTGGTGGACCCTGTAGAGGTCACAATTTTAATCCGATTTTGATGAAACTTGAAATGCATGTTTATAACCCAAAGATCTTGGTTCCTTTCCATATTTGCGCATATCGATTTAGTAACTTCATGAATTATGGCCCTTGATTGTAGGAAAAATCACTTTCTTTTTAGCTTGTTCTCTATCCATCTCTCGAAAATGTGTGCGTATCCTGCCTGGCAGCCGTCGGATATTTTTTCGACTACTTCCGTTTTTTGGATCATTGTCGGCATAGTTTTTACAAGTTGTTTGGATACTTAACTTTCTGTACCAAAAGTTTCAGAAATATCCATTGAGCTGTTTAAAAAAAAAATAGACGAACATTTCCAGTAATTTAACGATTTTTCAACTTTTTTTCAAAGAAGGGGACCCTTTTTGGTCCTTTTATATCATATTGAGGCTTTTAAATTGGGATTTACACCCTAGACCACCGATAGGACGCTAAGTAACAGAAGTTTAAGAAAAAAAAAGAGAGTAGTTTTCGAGATAAAAGCGTCTGAATAGCCTCCAAAAAGGAAAATACTATATTTTCAACGTCCCATAATCTATTGCCTTAATAAGCATCGAATTTGTATTATTTTGATGTCTTAAGATCGTCCATTATCCGGGCTATCCAATGACACTTGTTTTGTTTCGGTGAAATCTGCCGTTGTAATACCTTTTTTCGCAAGATCACCATTTTCTTTTATTATCAATATATCGGATATTTTTTCGACTAGTTTCAGTTTTTGGATCATTGTCGGGATAGTTTTAACAAGTTGTTTGGATACTTAATTTTCTGTACCAGAAGTTTCAGAAACACCCATTGGGCTGTTTTCGAAAAATAGAAGGGCATTTTCAGTAATTTAACGTTTTTTTATACATCGTCGCCACAGTTTGTGTGTGTATGTGTGTGTGGGTGGGTGTGTGTGTGTGTCGCCTACAGGCCACAATACTTCATTGATCATCTTGAAACTTTACATCCTTATTCCTTATGCCCTAAGTATGATCCCTATTGTTTTTGGTGCATGCCCGCCCCCCAGGAGCAGAGCCACGCACATTTCTTGTACTTGTTTGTTTGTCGTCTACATCCCGTATTTCTTAACGTATCATCTTGAAACTTTGCATACTTATTCTTTGTACCCTAAGGAACATCCCTATCGTTCGGGGCGCAGCACCACCATTTTCTCTTTCTCTCTTGTGTGTTGCCTACAGGCCATGATTCTTAATGGATCGTCTTTGAACTTGGGATATGTATTCCTTATAGCCTAAGGACGACAACTACATGTCCCGACCCCCAGCAGCAGGGCCACGCCTAATTTTTGTGTTTATCGTTTACAGGCCGCAATTCTGAATGGATCAACTTGGTACTTGGTATATGTACTCCTTAGAGCCCAAGGGCGTCAACTATTGATTTTGGTGAATGACCCGACCCCCAGGGGCAGAGCCATGCCCAATTTTGCCTTAAGCGCCCAAAGGTCGCAATTCTGAATGGATTATCTTGGAACTTGGTATCATTTCAATAACAGGGTGGTACCTATTTATATTGTTCCATATTCACCCCCCCCCCTTCCCAGGGGCACAGCCACACCCAATTGGTAAAAATATGGTATATCAAGGTTGTGGACCCTATAGAGGTCACAATTTTTATCCGATTTTGTTGAAACTTGAAATGTACTTTTATAACCCACAGATCTAGGTTCTTTTCGATATTTGCGCATATCGAATTGTAATTTCCTGAATTATGGCCCTTGATTATAGGAAAAAATCACTTTCTTTTTAACTTGTTCTCTATCCTGCCTGGCAGCCGCTGGTTTGTTAATATTTTGTCTGTAAATATGGCAAAACAAACCTAACACCTAGCCTTCTTTGTCTCATGTCATATTACAGCCATTTCATATTTCATTCTCTTCATTTTAAAAAGTACCATATCAATCAAAGCAGGAATGTGGACGTATATTGCAGCGTTAGCGATGATGTTGTCAATTTTTTGTCAAAGATGAAGGTCCTATTTGGACCACTTATATTATTTCAATGCTTTTATTTTTGGATTCAGTCCCTAGACCACCAATAGGACTCTGAGTAAGAAAAGTTTAAGAAAAATCGTAGTTGTCGTTTTCGAGAAAAGGGCGTCTCAAAAGGCCCCAAACGGAAAATATTAGATTTTCAGCGTACCATAATTTATTTCCTAACCATAGAAATCGTATCATTTAGATGTCATATGATAGTCCATTAGTTCTTTTGGTCCGCTAATTTCTGACGGAGAATTCAAGTTTTTCGCAAGAGTGCCAATTTTTTTAACCTTTTTTTTCATTTTTTGAATATTTGTCGGGATAGTTTCAATAACCGGTTTGGGCAATTATATAGTTGCAGGGCTCTATAATGATATATTATATTATCTGATTAGATGAAATCACCATGAGGAATCCCATGTTCAAATGTGCCATAAATGCAAAACTGTCAAAATATCGAAAATTAGATTCCAATAACTCAATACATATTATACATGTTAACATTTTAATTAGATCAGCTATCTGAATGTATAACCTATTTTTGAAAATCTGTGTAAATAAAAAAAATAATAGAGTATTTTCCAAAATTTCACTTTTTTCTGTTTTCAGTCCCTTTTTTATGCTATTCCAATTATTTCAAAGTCTTATTGGATGACTTCATGCACAAGACTACCGAAGGGACACTCGATAGAGAAAGTTAAAAAAAATCGTAGGTTAAGTTTTCGAGATAAAGGCGTCCAAAAACGCTCCAAGTCAGAAAATACTTGATTTTCAACTTGCCATATGTTGCTTCCTGGTCATAATATCCATATGAATTGGGTACCATACGACAGCCCAATCTTCGTGCCATACAACAATATCTTAATTTGTTTAATCCGTTGATATCGGACGGAGAAATCGCATTTTTCCAAAAAGCATCCAATTTTGGCTTTTTTTCAAAATATCGGACATTATTTCGAATACTTCCAGTTTACGGATCGTTGTTGGAATTGCTTTATTGGTTGGTTTGACCATAATATGGCTTTATTTTGCAGGAGTTTCAGAAACATCGATTGATCCTTTAAAAAAAATATAAGGTTTAACAAATGGGTAGAAAATTCAAAAAAATAAAGGGCGATCAATCTGAATGGCTGGAATCGGATAGACATCAGGTATGCAAAAATGTAGGTCAAATTTGAAAATTTTGAAAAATAACAAAATTGTCTCTTAAACAACATTTTTTATACGCCCACATTGAAATGTGGTCGTATATTGTCGTCGCCTCCGTCCGTTCCGTCCATCCGGTGTCCACAAAGCTCTAGAGGCTAAAATTAATATCCAATTGACTTAAAATTTATACACAGTGTTTAAGCAGGCCTCGCTGTTTGAAAAATGATGGGGAACCATAAACAGTCCTCCTGAAAATGCCGAGGAGAGTGATTCACTCTCCTGGAATTTAACTACTTAAAATTGAATATAATTTGAGTATATCCTAGTGGTGCAACTGTACTGTATTTTATTTATCCAAAAAGTCCAAATAAAATAATCTAGGCCTACTTCAAATGCTAAATGCAGCCATTTTGCTGCGGCGAAAGCGATCCCTGTTGGCAAGGTTAGATTAGATAACGATAGATGAAGTTGTCAAGGTATTTTCATCCAGAAGAGGATATAATTATCATTCATGGAAACGAGATCTACCGAATAAAAATAGGAATTCGTCTGCTAAATGCAGCTATTTTGCTGCAGTGAAAGGTGATCCCCGCTGCCGAGGTTAGATGGGTTAACGCTAGTATCGAAGATCGGTCATATTAGGTGATATTGATATAAGCGGCCCAGTTATTCAGCCGGCGGCAATCGAAGAATTCCTAATGTATGAGCTGCTTATATCACCATAATGTCATAAAATGACGCCATGTGATCTACCGTCTTCAAACTAATGTTCTCCCGTTTTCATCGATAACAAACCACAGAGATTCAATTCAATGAGTTCATTGTTTTTTGATGGGTCTCAGATTCGAGAGGAGCGTGAATATGAACGCTCCTGACACAAAATTTAGGTAATTTGCGATAATTACTGTCAGAGTTATAGCCCTTGATCACTTTGAAAAATCTTTGTGGATGCTCTCAAGGCTAATGTTAATATCGATTGACTTTAAATTTATACGCAGTGTTTAAGGTCATGAGACGAAGAAGCCTGTTGATTTTCAACGATATCCGATAATTACTGCCAGAGTTATGGCCCTTGATCACTTCGAAATATCTTGTGGATGCTCTAGAGGCTAAAGTTAATATCCGATTGACTTTAGATTTATACACAGTATTTAAGGTCATGAGACGAAGAAGCCTATTGATTTTCAACAATTTCCAATAATTACTGCCAGAGTTATGGCCCTTGATCACTTTGAAAAATCTTGTGGACGCTCTAGTTAATATCCATTGTGAGACGAAAAAGCCCAGTGATTTTCAATGATTTCTGATAATTACTACTAAAGTTATGGCCCTTAATCACTTTGAAAAATCTTGTGGATGCTATAGATACCAAAGTTATCATTCGATTGACTTTAGATTGATAAACAGAGTTTAAGGTCTTGAGACGAACAATTATATTGATATTCAATGAATTTTGATAACTTGAACAGCTAAATTCATGATATTAAATGCTTCATTTACTAAACGTTAGCATGGGGCAGAACTAAAAGCCAAACAATTTCTAATGATTTTCGGATAATTGTTTAATTTTGAAATTTGCAACTGCTATTGTCCCAGAAAAGACCTAGGTTTTCCGAAAATGACATTTGTTTGAAAATAGGTATAGAACTGATGAAACAACGGCCATTTTTTATACGCCCACATTTTCATGTGGACGTATATTGTCGTCGCCCCTATCCGTCCGTCCATCCGTGTGTCCGTCCGTCCATCCGTGCGTCCGTCCGTCTGTGTGTCTGTTCACAGTTTGATTGTGGACACACTACAGGTCACAATTTTTATCCGATTTTGTATGCAAATTGTGTAAAAGTATGCAATATGAAGGTTGTGGACCCTTTAGAGGTCACAATTTTTATCCGATTCTGATGAAACTTAACACATATCTTTATATCCCAAAGATCTCAGTCCCGTTTGATATTTGCGCATTTCAGACCATAAATTACTAAGGTAATTTTCATTAAATGTGCCATTTATTAACTTGAATTTAATGAAATGGAAGTTTGTGTTCCCATTGTATGATGTAATAGTCATTAACTGATTATCCAATTCGAGATTTTTCATGTTAATTTAACTAATTACTTCTATTAATGACCAACAAATAATAGGACTGTTATATAACATGGCTGACATTATAATAAAACTGACAATTTTCAGCTAGCTTTGTACAGGGTGTATAAAACCTGACTCAATTAAACTAAGTTATGTAAATAACTTGCCAATGAGGAATGTAAAATTATTATGTTGATTAGCCTTATTATAGCAATTTTCTCCTCTTGGGGCTCATATTACCTACTTTAATTTACTATATTTACTTACAAAAACATGATTTGGCTTGTTTAACTCAAGTATAAATTTTATATTGATTACCGGTATAGCTAATATGAATAAATTCATCATGTGAAACGAGTGTAATAAAATGTAAAATTTGTGTTATGTATGAATATAAGCCACCAGATAATTTATGAAATAAATGATCTTTAACATGATAATGTCTGTGAAGCTTTGTCAAAATATATTTAATTTCGAATTCTGCTAGTTTTGTATTCTACTGAATTTTGGGAGTGCAAGAGTGATTGTACAAAAATGTAATGTGAATTATGTAATTGTCGTAATCTATTAAAGATAAGTCACTTGTATGCACAGGCCACTTTCTTATGGTCATTTTTGTGAAATATGTTTTCTGTATTCTAAATTATAACTTTGTGTAAATGTGACCAAATCACTTATTTTATACTACACATTAATTAAAAAATGTAACATTTTAAGTTATTTTAAAAAAAAAAAAATAAGTTGGAGTCCCTGTTTTTATATATTATATACTCTAATATACCCTGGTCCATTAAAATAAAAATAAAGTTGGTTGAATTGTGAATGCTAATGAAAAGGAACCAACCATCCATAAGGTCTCTGTACAGAATTTGCATTTTTTAAAAAGTGTTGATTATTCCAAGACATTAATTAAAATTATAAAAATTTCTTGTGAACACTCTACAAACTACATTTATCATCTGATTGTTTTGAAATTGATATATCTTGTTTACATTAGTGAGATGAAGAAGGCTATTTAATTTCAATAATTTTAGTTAACTTCTTCTGGAGTTATGACCCTTGTTTCACTTTGACACTCCTTGTGAATGCTCTAACAACAAAAGTTATCAGCTGATCTGTATGAAACCTATATGCATCATTTAAATTAGTGAAACAAAGAAGCCTGTTGAATTTCAGAAATTTCCATTAAAATTACATCTAGAGTTATGATCCTTGTTTCACTTTGTTGAACTTTGTGAATAACCAATTTATCATCCGATCTGTATGAAATTTACATACATAATGTAAATTAGTGAAGCTAAGAATCCTATTGAATTTCAGCAATTTCCGTTAATTACTTCTGGAGTTATGGCCCTTGTTTCACTTTGTTAAACCTTGTGAACGTTCGAACCCCTAAAGTTATCATCCAATCTGTTTGAAATTTATATGTATCATTTAAATTAGTGAAACGAAGAATCCTAATGACTTTCAGCAATTTCTGTCAATTACTTCGAGGGTTATGACCCTTGTTTTACTTTCCTTATGAACACTTGAACAACAAAAGTTTTCATCCGATCTGTATGAAATTTATATGCATTATTTAAATTAGTAAAACAAAAAAGTCTGTCGACTTTCAACAATTTCTTTAAATTACTTCCAGAGTTAAGGTCCTTGTTTCAGTTTGTAGAACCTTTTTAACCCTCAAACGACGCAAATTACATAAAGTTTTCTAATTAACCTACAACCCATAAACTGAAACTAAAATGCGGAAAATCTTAAAAAGTGATTCTGACAAAATTTATCATTTCTGTGCAAGGGAAGATATTAGAAACAATTTTTTGACATCCATATGATCCCATTGATCCAATCTATATGTCCATTTTAATCAAATATCATAATTTGAAACGAATGGCCTTTTTCACCTTTAAACCAAAATCGCCAGCATAGTAAATACCTAATTTTTACAACTTTTTTTCACCATTTTGGTTTAAGGGTGAAAAAATTGTAAAAATGAGCTATTTACATTGCGTTCAGGCTTTTCATACTTTAAAATATTTCTTCGCAACTTTCATATACTTGAAGCATTAATGCATAAGAAGACAATGTATGACAAAATTAGTTTGTAATAGGAGCAGTTGCCAAGAAATAGTCAAATAGTCACTTTTCACGTTTGTTTGCTTGTAAAAGAGTCAATTATCAATGGATTTCCATAAAAGTGATACCTTTGATGAATAAAGTAAAATTACGTTAAATCAAATTGATTACAATTTACAAAACCGATTTGTAAAAATTAATATTTGCTTTTGAAAGGACTTTCTTATTCGTCAAAATTGAAGATTTGGGCAAAACTACAACACTTCCGGTGCCGACAGAAAATTGTATCGGTCGAAAAAAAATTGAGAATTCGCACCATGGAGCATATCTATGAGCATTCTTTTATTTAATTCAGGCAATAAATAAATAACCTAGAACCCATGAACTGAAACTTAAATGTGAATAATCTTAAAAAATGATCCTGACAAAATTTGATTATCATTTAATGATCGTATGGATTCATACTATTTGTCCATTGGAATCAAATATCTTAATTTTATACGAATAATGAATATCACTTACTTAAAACAAATAGTTGTTTTGGAGGCTAAAAATACAGATTTTGCCAAAATGACAAGAGGCATCACCTGGTGAAAATTTTATGAAGATCGATTAATAATTGACACTTTTATGGACCAAAAACCTTGAAAAATGACTTGTAGGAAATGGTCTATTTCTCTGAAACTGAACAAGTTAGAAATGATTTCGTGATATGTACATGACCGTATTTTGTTTATATATCTGTTAATTTAAACTAAAAGTTAAAATTTTCAAAACATAGCAAATAATACGCAGTTAAATAAATATTGATATTAAAGGTTAAGAATACAGTTTTTGACCAAATGGCGCCACTTCC